GGGGGCCCCCGGGGGGGCCCCCGGGGGCCCCCTTCTGAACCCTCACCAAAGGGGGCCCCTCACAGATATCAAGCCCAGCCAAGATGGAACTGTTGTGGCTGTGGCAAGCGAAGATGGCAGCATTCATGTGGGAGTTTAATTCAATTTAATTTGATTTAATTAATTTAATTTAATTCAGTTCTGGTTTGGTGTTTGTTTGCGCGTCTTTTATACTTGTGCAAACCGAAGCAGGCGCAGCCTGATAGTCTTTTGCTGCTGCTGCTGCTGCCCATGATTGCGCTGCTGGTGCTCCCCTTCCTGCTGCTGCTGCTGCTCGTGCTGCTGCTGCTCATGCTACTGCTGCTGCTGCTTGCTGCTGCGTGTGCGGTGTATGTACAGTTCTTTGACGGCGTGACAGGGATGCTGGTGAACCGAATTCCAGATGCCCACAAGTGAGGCTGCCAGAGTCCCAAGATGTGGCGCCTAGGGTTTAGGGTTTAGGGTTTAGGTTTTAGGGTTTGGGGTTTGTGGTGCGGCTCTTCTCCCGCAGCGGAATGCCAGTGACTTCTCTCATGTGGTCGCGTTCAGGAAGGTAAGAAAATGCCGAGGTGTATAGGCAGCTCGGGTGTATAGGCAGCTCGGGTGTATAGGCAGCTCGCTTAAACTTTGAGGCGTATGCACAGCACTACACGCATTCTATTTATTAATTTATTAATTTATTTTCTATTTAATTTTTATTTTTAATTAATTAATTATTCCTTTGCGTTCTGATTTCAGGTTTCTTCTTTCCTGCGGCTTCGACGGCCATTCGCGCATTTGGGACGTGCGGAAAGGCCAGCAGGTGATTTGGAGCAGCACAAACAGGAAAACGGGAAACAAACAGATGAATTAAATTAAAAATTAATTTAATTTAATGAAGTAATAAACTAATTATAAATAAAAGAAATGCAGATTCAAATTCCGGACTGCTGGCGGTGTTTCTCGCTGCAGGGAGTGGAAAGGGCGCAGTGTACATACACCCCAAGTTGCGCAGCAGCAGTCAAATTGTGCAAAAGAAAACATTTAAAAATGAAATTATATAAATGAAATTAATAAATGAATAAACAATTAAACTATAAGGCAATGAGAAATGCCTTTCTTGCATGTTTTGTCATCTTTGCTGCTGCTACGTGTGCTGTTCTGCTGCTGTTGCTACAACTACTACTGCTGCTGCTGCTGCTGCTGCTGCTGCTGCAGCTGCTGGCCATCCACAGCGGGTCTCGGCGGGACCGCCGCGCAGTTTCTGTCTTTTTGCAAACGGAGGCTTTTATAGCTTCGGTGTCAGGGGCAGGTGCGAAGCCTCAAAGAAATAAATAATTAAAAATAAAATAAAGTTTTTAATTTAATTAAAGCTTGGTGAAGCTCCAAATGAATTAAACAGTTAAAAAGAAAATAAAAATATTTCATTTAAATTTATTTCGCCTTTTTAGTCTTCAAGTAGCTGCTGCAGCAGCAGCAGCTTGCCATTGGCTGCATCACCTTTGCGTCTCTCCTTCATTTGCTGCTAGCAGCGTCTCATCTGCAGCAGCAGCAGCAGCAGCTGCTGCTGCTGCTGTACATGCTTGAACAAACAACCTGCTGCTGCTGCTGCTGCTGCTGCAGAGGCTGGTGGTCCTCTGCGTCTGTTTAATTCTTTAACTGGAGCTGCCATTTCTTCTTTTGTTGATCCTCACCCTCAAAGACAGGGGCAGCAGCAGTGAGACATTACTAGCTAGCTAGCTAGCTAGCTAGCTAGCTAGCTAGCTAGTTGGCTATGTAGCTAGCTAACTAGCTGGCTGGCTAGCTAGCTAGCCAGCTGGCTAGCTAGCTGGCTAGCTTGCTAACTAGTTGGCCATGTAGCTAGCTAACTAGCTGGCTAGCTAGCTAGCTGGCTAGCTAGCTGGCTAGCTAGCTGGCTAGCTAGCTAGCCGCATCGGTGTCTTTTCCTGTGGTGCACTGGCTGGGGGCTTCAACTGTCTCTTTGTTTTTGTTTTGATTTATTTAATTCTCTCTTTAATTGTTTTCACTTTTGAATTATTAATAATTAGTGATTAGTAATTAATTATTGATTATTAATTGTTTATGATTAATCATTTATTATTAATAGTTTATTATTGTTTATTTGTTATTGATCATTTATTATAATTTATTTATTAATCATTTACTATTATTTATTGATCATTTATTGTTGTTTGCTTATCACTAATCATTTATTATTAATAACAAATTACCCTGTTTTTTTTGTTTGTTATTTACTTCTCTGTAGCTGCCTCTCGATGAAGTATTTTGCTGCTGCGTCTGTGCCTCACTGCCTCTACGTTGAAAGACGATCTGCTGCTGTTCCTTCTGCTGCTGCTGCTGCTGCTGCTGCTGCAGGTGCGTGTGTGCAATTGCTGCTTCGCCGTTTAGCTTCTCCTGCATCACCGGCACGGCGGACGGCGAGTGAGGGGAAATAGAAAATAAAAATAAATAAATTGAAGTCCAAATGAATAAAATAATTAAATTTAAATTATGAATATAATCAATTAATTAAATTAAATGAAATAAAGCTTCAGAGATTTGCCAAATGGACTCAGCGCGCGCAGGCGGAGAAAGCTGAGGTGTACGTACACCCCAGATTGCGCACCTGCTGAAGAAGATGAACTTGCTTTTTCTTTTTATCATTTTGAATTAGAAAGGAAATAAAGAATTTAAAAATTAAATAATTTTTAATTTTAATTTGCTGCTTTTAATTAATGCCATTTCTTTTGCTGCTTTCGCCTCGCAGATGCCGTGTTTTGGACTTCACCGCTTCCTGGGGTTCTTGAGGGCCAGCGAGGGTCTAGAGTTTAGGGTTTAGGGTTTGGGGGTTTGATTTGTTTCTCTTTGGAATTTACTTATTTATCCAAACCTTTCTTTTTTGTCTCTTATTTCTGTGGCTCCTCCTTCGCGTGAGCAACTCAAAGAAAAGATAAATCGGACAAGCCAGGGTTTAGGGTTTAGGGTTTAGGGTTTAGGGTCGCGGGGTCAGCAAGGGTTAAGGCTTAGAGTTTAGAAGCTAGGGGCCAGCAAGGGTTTAGGGTTTAGGGTTTAGGTTTTAGGTTTACGGCGACGGCGAGGTGTCTGTACACTGCTGCAGCAGCAATTTTTTGCCGCTGCAGCAGCAGCTAGTTCTTGTCTTGCTTTTTTGCCTCTTTTGTTTGCCTATCTATCTAGCTAGCTAGCTAGCTATTTAACTAGCTAGGTAGCTAGCTAGATAGCTACCTAGCTAGGTAGCTATCTAGCTAGCTAGCTTGGGAGATCAATGGATATATAGCTAGCTTAGTGTATATACAGCCACTCAGGTGGCTGGCTAACTAGCTAGCTGCTAGCTAAATCTATGTAGATGTAGCTAGCTAGCTGCATGGCTAGCTAACTAGCTCTACTTAGGTGCAGCTAGCTGGCTGCTACGCGCTTTCCTCGAGGTGTACAGACACCGCAGAGCAAATGAAAGGGTCTGAGTCGTTTGGCTAGCTAGCTGGCTGGCTAGCTAGCTTGCTAGCTAGCCAGCTAGCTAGCTAGCTAAATTAAACAGAGAAAAAGTTCATCGTACTTAACCAAACAGGTAGGTGGGAGACTGGCTAGCTAGCTAGCTAGCTAGCTGCCTGCAATTAGCTAGCTAGCTAGCTAGTTGCAATTGGAGCTGCGTAGTGGCTTTGGCTGAAGTGATGGATAAAAAAAATGAAAGAAAAAGAAAATTGAAGAAGAAATTCAGGAGGGGAGTTGGGGTGTATGCGCACCTCTAGGTGTCTGTACACCCCAGGTGAAAATAAATTCAAAGAAAGAAAATCAAAAAATGAAAAATGAGAATTTATTAAAAGACAAAAGCTGGAGCGCTGAGGTGTGCGTTAAATATTAAACGCATTAAATATTAAATATTAAATATTAAATATTAAATATTGCATTCATATGTATTTAATTTATACTTAAGTTTATATATTTCTGCACTTCTTCATATAACTTACATATATATATATTATTATATGGATATAATATATATATTACATATATATATTATGTATTTATATAATATATATTTATATATAATATATAATATATAATATATAATATATAATATATATATAATATATAGATATTATATATATATATTAAACCCATGTGTAGAGCCATTTGCATGCACATTTAAAGATTTTCATTTTTGTTTTTGCGGACAAAAAAAAAGAACTTCATTGGAGCGTTGGGGTGTACATACACCTCAGAGCCACCCGGAATTGCGAGAAAAGATTTGCTTTTCGCTTTATTTCATATTTATTTATTTATTTATTTATTTGTTTGTTTGTTTGTTTATTTATTTATTTGTATTAATGGAGACTTCATGGAGAGAGCCTGAGGGAAGAAGCCATGGGGCTGAGCTGTACAGACACCTCAGGCGACGCGTCTTTGCCTGCAGATCGAAAACAGAAAAAGGAAAACGACTTTTCCACTTTTAATTTATATTTCTTTTTCTACCTTTTAGCAAAATATCCTTTAATGAAAAAGAAAAACTTTTATAAATGCTTTTATTGAAAATGCGTTTTCCAAAAGTGTTCATTTCCACTTTTTGAGGTGTACGTACACCCCGCGGTGCCCCTTAAACCAATTTTTCCCTTTTTTGAAAATTCATTTTTTTCAGTCTTAGATTTTTAATT